TTTATTTATAGCAGTTTCAAAATATATAAATTTATCAAACACTTATATTTAGCGGTTTAGGTAAAATCATTAACCGTTACCCCAAAATCGCTATACCAATACGGACCCTTGACGAGGATGGAGAAGATTGTGGTGAAATCATCCAAGACTGACGTTTCTTCTTCTAAATCTAATGGTTCGAAGCAGTTTATTATTTTTGGGTTCGCATACTATACTAAGTGCCTGTTTGGTGTAGATTGTGGGAAGAGCTTTTTGGCTCGAAAAGCACAAGCAGCACCAAACGGGTCAGCTTCCAAAACTGGCTGCAGCTTTTGAGAAGCTCAGCTTCTCACCTTTCCTTTGCAAAGCCTGGAAGCTCCAATTTCTTACTTCCGTGGGAGCTTCTCGCTTCTAATTTAATGAAATTGACATGATCCTTCCATTTTATCCTCACACTTCCTTTTATTTACGAAAAAACTAGTATATAAAGGACCAATTTATAATCAAACCAACCAACCCCAAGCACATTTGTTTCTTCTTCCTTATCCAACCACAAAAACAAATCGAAAATACTCATCCAATCACAGAAACAAACCAAAAATACTTAACTATATTATTCCTCATCCAATCAAAAAAACAAACAGAAAATGCTTATCGTATTCTTCCTCATTTTCTTTTCCCCTAAACCGAAAATCCCCTCAGCTTCCATTCGGAGACGAACCCAAGAGCTGGGTTTGCGACGAACCTGCGCCTAGTTCGAGACTAACCCAGCGCCTGGGTTCGAGACGAACCCAACGCCTGGGCTCTGAGATGAACCCAGGAGCTTGGTTCGTCTCAAACTAGGTGCGGGTTCGTCGCAAACCCATCCCCTAGGTTCCGAGACGAACCCAGGCACGGGGTTCATCACGGAACCCAGGAGTTGGGTTCGAGACGAACCCAGGAGCTTGGTTCGTCTCAAACCAGGTGCGGGTTCATCGCAACCCCTCCCCTGGGTTCCGAGACGAACCCAGCTCCTAGGTTCTGCGACGAACCCTACACCTCGGTCCACGCAAACCTGAAGGTGAAAAAAAAAAAGGAAGAAAAAAACAGCAGAGGAATAGGAATGGGAG